CTTTGCTGCTGGAACATAGTCCTATGGGTTAGAGGTAAAAAGGTCACGTCAGTCAATCAACAATTTGTTCTTAAGTCAATAAAAGTAATTCAAACTTTCTTCCATAGATTTGAAAGAAAAAGCTAGAATAAAACTTTTGCTCTAGTCTCAGGTTTGGTGCCTGAAAATAGGGCTTTCATTATTTCTTATGTAAGACTACATAACAAGCTATATAAAAGAGAAATACAATTTCTTTCTTTAGAGGAGTCTGCCTTTGTCTAATAGTGAGTCAGCACCATCTGACAGATCAATTTTCTGTAAGTGTAGGATGTGGATTTTGCATATCTCCAAGGGCACCTGTTGGAAACTTGGGCCACCACAGCATGGAATTTCACACCGCATAAGGTCAACTCAATGGCCTTCCAGTGCAGAGACCTACATCACAAAATCTCATCAATGTGAATGAGACTGATACCAGATACCTCAAGTTTTCTGTCCTCCAGATCTGCCATTCTAGAAAGGGGACACCACCGCGCTTAATGCTTTCTTGGTTCTTTCCGAGACCATTAATGTGTCTAGTATCCATAGGATCATTCAGGTCGGAAGGGACCTCTCAGGAGGTGTCTAGCCCAACCTCCTGCTCAAAGGTGGGTCAGCTGTGAGGCCAGACAAGGTTGCTCAGAGCTTTATCCAGCCAGGTCTTGAAAAACCTCCCAGGATTTCCAGCTTCTCTGGGAACCACGTTCCAAAACTTAACTGTCCTAATGGTAAAAAATCTTTCCCCTGTGACCAGTCTAAACCTCTGTTGTTTCAATTTACATCGACTGTCTGTCATTCTTCTGCCATGCACCACTGCCAGGAGCCTGGCTCTGTCTTCTCCATAACCTGCCTGTAGGTATGGGCAGGCTCTGTTAGGTGCCCCCAATGCCATCTCTTCTTCCAGCCCAGCTCCCTCAACCTCTCCTCATGGGGGAGGTGCTCCAGCCCACGCCATTGCGGTGGCCTTCTGCTGAACTTGTAGTTTATCAACATCTTTCTGATGCTGGGGGCCCAAAACTGCACAGAGTGTTCCAGATGCAGTCTACCACACGCTGAGCAGAGGGAAGTAATCACTTTCCTCGATCTGCTGGCTGCGCTCCCGCTAATACAGCCCAGGATGCTGTTGGCCTTTTTTATTGCCAGGGCCAGCTCCTGGCACACGTTCAGCTTGCTGTCTGCCAAGACCCCCAGGCCATTTGAGCAGAGCTGCTCCCCAGCCAGGCAGTCCCTGGCCTGTATTGTTGCAAGCTCCCAAAACCTCCTGGTATCAATTCTGCGGGGACAGCCAGGACACCCTCCCCATGCCACACACAGCAGAAGCTCCCGGATCTCCAAAGATCATCTGCAGTAGTAAGCCAGGATTAACTTCATAAAGACATGAAGCTAAAATATTGTTACTGCACTTTTTCCAGTATCTTTAAAAACAAGTGTATGAGTTCCTCCGTATTCTTGTATCTGAAAATGAGAACAGCTGCTGCGAGGTGTTCCTTTCCTCCAAGCATGGTTGTTTATAGTAAAGAACACTAGGCTTTGATCAGCCGCTTGTATTTACTAAATTGATTCCAACATCTTTGCCAGTGGGCTGTATGGATTCTCAGCATGAAATGCTCCTGCTCATTTGAAGTGGTTGAGATTGTTTTTCAATGGAATTTTCCATTATGCTCTGTGCTATCTTTCTTCAAAGCACAATTTGTTCACTGGGCAGTACTCCTTGTCCAACATAATATGCAGAACCATTTTATATCTTGCTCAGTACTTTTGTTTTCTTCCCATGATGCTTTACCTCCATTTATTCTCTTGTCTCAACCAAAGTTTCCTTTTACAGCTCTCTTGCACGTAACCTGTTACGTTTGTTAGCAGCTGTTATGCAGGGCTTTTTCTCCCCCGCCCTGCCTCTCTTCAGTACTGAAAGTTTGGAGGCAGTCAAGACTTCTCGGGAGAATACGATGCCTTGTCCCAAGGGCATTTGCCTCCTCCCCCCCCCCCCCTTTTTTTTTTTTTTGATATTTGGGGGGGTAAATG